TCCTTCCAATAAAGAACGTTGTTACTTGATGACTGGAAATAGTGACCATATCCAATTTTTGTTATGGAAGTCTTTTGACATCTTAATGGTTTCCCAACGCAGTGACACTGCCTAAAGCTGAATTTACCAGTAAATTGATTTTTTTAGGCTTAAAGGACTTCGTCCCATTTTTTGTCGGCCTTCATGTCCAGTGATTTAGTTGAACAATCTGTTTATTAATTTTTTGTTACTTTTTCAACAACATCTTGAGCAGATAAGTTTAATTTCATAGCTTTTCCATTAGTATACTTCCACAAGCGTTCTTTTATTAAAGAAAATTTATTAAAATGTCTTTTGTTTGGCTGTATGACTTTCTGATTAGTTATTTTTTTCTTTGTAAAATACTTAGTTTTTAGTAACCAAGCGCTCAGTTTTGAGGAATTTCATTGTGAATCGATTCAAGGTGACAGCGCAGCGGTTTTTTCCAAAGGATTAAAAGTTTGACAAAATCCATTTTTACCGAAAATTGATTTTTTTGTTTTTCAATATTGAACAAACTGTGTTGTCTCAAAAGCCATTTTGCAAGTGCGGCACGATTTCAAGACTGTGATTGTTGTGGTTTGATTTTTTTGGTCAACCTTTTTTTTAGGTCGACCAAATTGATTTTCCGAGTTCAATTTTTCTGCGCCGCAGACAAAATTTTGATAAAACAGGCCAAAAAGACATTTTTTGGAAAATTTTGACCCATAAATTGCGCTTTTTCTGCGCGCGCTCTCTGGTCAAAATTAGTATATTTTAGGCGCCTTAAGAAAATTTCTAGGGTCCGTCACCAAATATGTACATCTCAAAATAGTACAAAGGGGGACCCTCTGGGTCGGGAGGTGGTCGAATCCCTGGAGGGGGGGGGGGGGTCGAACCATTTCTGACTGTTCATTGGTTTCCATAAGAATTGCTAAATATCACTTTTTTGCCCGACAATTTGTTTATTTAAATGTTAATTTTTTTCTTCATTCTCGTGTAACAAGGAGATGATTATAGACTTCTGTTGCAAAAACAAAATATTTGATTTGTCTGATTGTAAATGTTTCAAAAGGAATCCAAAAACTTAAGCTTCTAAATAATTCGCCTTACTTGAAATAATTTTTGAAAGTATCAGCCTGGAAATAAGGGTTTTACATACTTATGAAATATCAAAGGTTGAATACCCGAAAAAATTCTTCAAAAAGGTAAGTCTTTTTTGTAGCAACGTTCAATGAAAATAATGAGTGAGTATACAGCTGCCGTCATGAATGATTAAGGTTCTTTGTCATGGCAACACTGGATGCTAAACCGTGAAAATTATATGGCGAGAATGTCCATATTAAGGCGAACTTTGCTGCGCCACAAAATTTTTTGAAATAGCGTTTTTGAAAGGAGAAAGCATGCAGAAATAACGCGATTTAATTGTCAAATTGACCTCTGAATCGCGTTATTTCGGCTCTCGCTCCTCACTCAAGTTTAGTAAAAACGTATGCCCAAGAATCAAAATAGCTGTCAAAAAATGGAACTAGGGAGTCAGTCAGTATGGGAGCCTGAATTTTAATATGAAGAGTGGGATTTGCATCCCGAGCATTAGAATCTCGCAAAAGCTTATTCAGGTTCAATAAGTTGAATTAAAAAAAATAATTGTGCCAATCCGCATATAAACAATTTTGCAATTCAAAGGGCTTTTGTTTTTTCCTATTTTAAAAATTTCGGCATATTGGAAATTTACTGGGTTAGTCACTTTATATTACAAAGTGCTTTTAAATATGTTTAAAAACATAAAATGAGTCGGGAAACTGCAACGAGCGAAAATTGCAAGTGTAAGTAATATCTGCAATTTAAATGAGGATTTCGCAAGTCTTGCTAGTAAAGCTAGCACGTGGAGCTGCTTTTAGTTTTAACCATGTTTCTCTTGATTTCACAACAGCATAAAGATCACAGAAAAAAAACATTCCTAGGTAAGTTCTGACTGCAATTGTCTCGATTGGACATCCTTTCAGTAGTTCTGAAGTCATTTTCAGCAAAAGCGCGCCTTTTTCAGCGACAATGCGGATGAAAAGCTCGAGTGTAAATAAATCAGCCAAAGTAAAAGTGGTGGCGTCCCTCATGCTTGAGGGACCGAATGCTTGAAATTAATTTTAGCTTACTTTCAGCCAATCAGAATTGAGTATTCAAAATCTCAAAGTAAATCGCGAAAATCTCAAAGTAAGAAAATTAATCCAGGCCATTAGTATTAGTATTGACCGATTAGATAATAAGCAGATGAGTTTTCAAGACTGAAAATTTCTAATGAACTCAATAATCTTGATGGTTTTCTGAATAGTAATGCGGTTGTAACCCGCAATTTGTAATATTTTTTTATTATTTTCCACTTATTTAATACATTTTCTGTTGATATTGGCTTCGATTTTGTGAGAAAGGCATTTAGCCAATAAAAACGCCCAGGGATTTTGGTTGGTTGAAAATTTTCAGCATTCGGTCCTTCAAGCTTGAGAACCCTCCCCAGTAAAAGTCAGCAGAAAATGAGCAGAGCAGATAAACCAGCTCAAAGCTATGTAATTTGAGTTCAATGATTGCATTTTCCTTACAAAACTAATCCGTATTGTCACATAATCATTGTTAGATAACTGGGGTAGCATGGATATTGATCAATTACATAAGATCATTTAGAGATATTAATCAATTGAAAAATTGATTATAATGGACAAAAAATGATAATAGTTCTAGGAAATCAAATTCAGTAAAATCTCTTATCGATTTTGTTTCCACTTAGTTCATTTTGCATCTTAATGAACATGCAGTTTACACGACGACTTCATAAAACATTTATTTTTTATTTGCACGTTGGCTAACAGATATTGCTCGATTTTATTTAATTGAGATTTGTTTTTGGCCTAGAAAATCGATTTTTTATTTTAAATTTTCCCTTCAGAAATATTTTACTAATTTTGATACAGTCTTTTAGTTTGTTATTTTAGCTTTGATCCTATTTTGCTTACACCGCCCCCATATTTACACCCGTCACATTTTTACTCTCATATATTTTTGATTTTCTAAAGTTGAATAAGTTTAGGATTCGAGTGACGAAATTTAGCAGAGAATGTTGAAATTTAGCAAATTGTTCGTAAAATCGTTGTGACGGGACGTACGATCTAAACTACTCTTTTAAAATACGCTGAAATTGTTTTAATTTATCGAACAATACCATCAGAAATATAGTAAAAGTAACCTTCTAAATGTATTATAATTGACTTGAAATTCGAGACCTAGACTTTTTCCCCCCATTAAACAACTTTTCATACAAATCTTTCTTGCTTTATTATTGAACCGTAACAACTTCCAGATTTTTTTCAACTTGGACTAGAGGTAAGGTGCCGCCTTTGCATTCTTGGCTCGATTCTCGGTGGGACCTTGTTTTTTTCTGCATGCATGAATCTGAAATTTTTCCGGTATAAGTTGAGCTGGCGGACTTTCGTTCGTCTGCTGAAGATTTTTCGGCTTAGTTGCCACAGCACGGAGTTTTTTTTGTGTTCTAAGCAATTTTTTTTTGTACTGTAAGCCGTTAGTTGCAAGTGTTGTTCATTGTAGCTTTAGGGCGGTTTTACACTTTTCTACAAAGTAAATTTTTTTTGTCTCAACTAGCGTCTGCTCAAAGAGTGTCGGCTTTGTTTCCGCTTCTTAAGTTTTGCTGCGTTGCTATTTTGATATTCTATTGTTTCGCGTGGCATTTTTACATTGAATCAGCTTTTATCAAGAAATACGAAAATTTTGGCACACCTAGTTCTTTTTCGATATTTTTTTTTTTATTATGTTTTTATGTTTGTGTTGCAACGCAAGTTATGCCAAGCTCTGCGTAGACTCTGTGTACCACTTCATAATCCAGTTCCTTGACCGTGGGCCTATGATAATCGATATTTTGAGAGCATTTAGTCTAAAAAATCCATTATAGTCTATGTTTTTCCACTGAACCGAAGCTTGAATATATTTCTTGGCCGCTCTTTACTGATTGAATATATTTACTTGACCATCCGAAAAATTTCTGGGAGTATATTTTAGGAAGCCAAATAACTACTGAAATTGTTGTAATGGTAAGGTACTCACTCCTCTGTGAGATTTTTTGGCACCTTAAATTGCGTGAAAACAAGTTTTCCTAGGCAAAAGTTTCTGCCCACTCAGTGATAGGTCGGAATACAAACGAAGATATACTCAGAATTGAATAACAACAGCTGCAACTACTAATTCCCTAGGCTCCGTTGGTACCTAGAAAAGCCTGCTTTTTTTCGTGTGGTGTTATCAAGGCCTACGACTGTCCGCCTTTTTAATCGAGGACCAAGAAATCTATCTCAATAAATTTATTTCTGTCTCAGTAGGCTGATCTACAGAGCTTAAGCACATCGAGCTGACTAGCTTATTTGTGGTCTTTTGTTTATGTGTTACTTTTTAGGGCGCATATCAATTTTTATGGATTTCATAAAATTTTAAAAATTTTGTCTTTTTTAGTAGTTCTGCAATTCTGTTCGAGTTAGCCCAAAATCTCTCGTAAGACCTTAGTGTCTTTTGTCGCCATTTTTTGTTATCTTAGGAGATTTTTCTTATCTTAAATTTTAAAACATAGATTTTTAGAGCGCCTTTTCCCGACTTAGTTTTTCTAATATTCCGCTAAGCAATGTTCAAGCTTGCTTCTGATTTGTTTCCAAATTTCATGTTTGCTATTACAAGTGAAATTTTGATGAGAGAATTGTGATCGTTATAATGGGAAGTATATCAGTTCGGCCTATTTTTTGTCTCCCATTCAAGTGCCCAATTGTCTAATTTCTCCCTAAGTGAGCATCCCGATTCCCTATTGACCTAATTACCCAAATCAATGCTGGGCTCATTTTACATTTGCTAAAAGCTAATTTTATTTTCTCACAGATGCCTGAATGACAGAAAAAAAAATTGAAAGAAATATCAATTAGATATTTTAAACTAAATGAACAATTATTCTGTGATGGGAATTAATATTTAAAACAAAACTATATTTAAAATAAATGATAATGAAGTAAAATATAAAACAGATTTAAGTTTAGACGAGAAAGCAGTTATGTAAATGACGTTCGAGTAAATAGGTTCATAAGCATATTCTTCGGTCTCGAACGAGTTATCGGGTAGAAGAACTTGCTTTTCATTTATAGGGGCAGCCTCGTCTTGAAGTTCAAAGTTAAAATGAAGTTCGTAATCAGGCTCACCAGCGTATAAAACTTGTTTAACTGAGTCTTGTAAAATTTCTGGGAAACTTTCGTAGTTTAAAAACGAAATTTGTTCAGGCGATAATTTCGACAGAAATGCTATCGGGTCTAGAAATAAGCTCAGTTCTGTTAAAGTTAATCTTGAAACGAAAGATAGCGAAATTTTTTGCACCTGGTCTTTTTCTAGTTGGTCCAAAATTCCGTTGTGGTTATCAAATCCGAGCAGAATATTACCCGATGCAATTAATAATTCTTTGTCGAAAGATTCGATGTTCATGAATTTTGCATATTTTTCGAACCATTCATTGGGGCAGTCTAGGCTGCCTATAAATTGAATTGTTTGAAACTTATCGTTTTCAGTCACAGCCCAATTTGAAACTTCAATCGGGTCTGCGGCGCATAACACGTGACCTAGTGTATAAATTGAATGGATTATGGAAACCGGGGCTTTCTGATTTAGTTGAAGAAACGATTGGTAGAGGACTTTCCTTTGTGCGTCGGACCATTTTTTGATTTCTCCGAGTTCAGAAAACGTTACATGTTCTGTTAGTGGATCTATTACATTTTCAAGTTCAGAAGCGTTGAGTGTTGTCAGAATATTGCCTAGTTCGACTACCTCCAAAGCGTCTAAATTTTCGAGCGAAAACTGATCTTGATGTAGACTTTTGAATGTTTCAAGTTGCTCAGTTGTGATATGGGAGCTGGTTGCAAAATATGAAGTGCAGATGTTGATGTCGCAAGGTTGAAGAGTTTCTAATTCAGAAGGACGCACTATTTGCATACCTAAAAATAAAAAATTTAAGGATCAATTTGAATAGTAACAAAAAATAACAAGAAAAATTAGTAACAAAAAAATCTGTGAAATAGAGAAACTTACTCAGAAAAACTTTTCTTTGCAAATAAATGCGAAAAAATTGGGATAAAATTATTTTCACCCTGAATTTGAAAAAAAAAATTATTTTTGACAAATTTCGATTAAGGCGGAAAATGTTTTTTTTTTCTTCAAAATTGCTAGCGTTGAAGTTCGAGTGTCATTCGCGTGATCGTAGGAAGGACTTACCATGTCCAAGTTGTTTGATGATGGGACACGTTAGATCTCCTGGCCTTCTGTCAGAACATCCTTTCATTATTTTGGTGGATTTGATCAACCTTTCTTTCACCAATTCAGTCATCAATTTGTAATTCGTGTCCAAAACTTTGTTCACACATCTTGTCGGTTTTCCGTCGTGAACAATTTTGGCCAAGTCCGACAAAATATAATCCACTAAATACGACGACATATTTTTCAACTGATCTACAAGTTTTGCGTTTATTATTGCATGGTATGTTGGTCCCAAAGATCGAATTATACTCCGGCTGAAAATTGAATTCTTCAGAACGTGACTTCGAATAACTTTTGCCGTCGATTCAGGCAAGCAACAGTTATGAAATAAATGAAGATTATCGGTGATTAGTTTCCGTTGAGAAGATTCTATGATTTTTGGTGCAACATAGCAAACCATTGGACCAAGAATTGATAAATCGAGCTCAGAAAGATAGCTTCGCATTGCGCAGCTTTTCATGTAAATTTCTACTAATTTTCGGCCCATGTCGATAGGAACATTTTCGAGTGCCGTTCCCGAAATTTTAGCGAAAACATCAAAGCACAAATTTTTGGGTAACGTTTCCAGTTCGGTGGCCGTGAGCTCGCGATATATTTCCCCGCTAAATGCTGCTTCATAAAACATCGGTAGTTTTGAAAAATCAAACTTTTCTATGCGATGTAAGTTTGCTAAAGTGTTGCGAGTTTCAGATAAAATCCATTGACTTTTCCCGCGATTCGGTGAGCATTTTGAAATTTCAGCTAAAACTGCAATTCGTTCTTCAGGCTGTATGACATTTTTGACTTCCCCTTGTGAAATATCTCGACAGTTTTTATGTGCTATCGTCTCATTGACTTCAAATGGTCGAATTTTCTGAGCAAGTTGATTTTGAGATTTTTGCAGCTCCTTTTTTATCCAATATCCAAAAGTTTCATCCCGTCGCAAAATCGAAATTGTCTCTATGTTTTGACGATCTTCGTTCAAGAGTTTCTGCAAAATCGCAAACATCGATACTTTTGGTACGTTTTTTGGATATTTTTGGAATTGGTCGAAAATCTCCCAAGCTGCGTCGAGCGAAGCTGTGTTGATTTCGGTCAAGTTCAAAGCATGTGAAATCCATTTTAAGTTCTTGGCATCTTTCGCCGATATTTCAGTGTCCGAGTATCGACCTGATCTGTACATATTCAGCAAGATTCGTTTCTTCGAAAAAGACGAAGGTTCTCTAATTTCTAAATTTTCAACTGATAATGCATTGTAAACGTGGAACTTCCTGAACAGTGTGATATCTTTCAGTGGTATATTATCGAGAAATGTGATAATAGTTCGTATCTGGTTTTCAGAGTAGTGAAAAAAGTCAGCTCCGTAAGTGTACAGGGAACTTTGGTACACAAATTCTTGAGTCAAAGGAGAATCAATGATGTTCGGAGCTTTCGACTCAGTTGAAATCAGTTGTCTCAAAACATTTGGCGAAATTTCAAAGTCACTGATTGCAAAATAACGAATCAAGTTTGTGTTCGATGCTGAAATTTGAGGTTCCGACATCATTATGAGGTGAAACTGGTACCAAGAAAGGTCAATTCCTGTTATTACGTCCATTTTGACCGAAGGTGCCGTCAGCAGAAACTCATTATTAAGACAGTCTTGAATGCGACTGGTCAAAGCTCTTCTATAATACCGAATTCGGTAGCTATACATTTTCTCCATGTAAAATAGAAATCGACAAACTTCGGGCGAAACTACAGGTGTTGGGTTGTTTTCGTTCAAAAGAGCGATTATGTTTCTGGGCGAATGTTCCGATATTTTGGATTCCATTAACGTCGCTACTGTGAAGCCTTGAATGAAAAATTTCTGGTAGTACTTCAAAGTGTCGAAGGACCATTTAGCCAACTCTCCGAGCTTCCACATCCAAATGTTTTTGCGCACTATTGTAGTCTGAATTTGAGAACTGTTAAGTGGGAATTCTTCTAATTTGAATGGTCGAAGTACATTTTCTAAGAAATTGTAAAACTGACTGTCGATCAAGTTTATAATATGACAGAAAGTGAAGCTATTTGAGAGCGATTTTTCTAGGAGCTTGGTGATGATTTCTTCGCCGTTTGCTTCAATTAGGAGGTCAAAAGTTTCCTGGTCGATTGATTGAAGCAAAGAATCCGAAGGCTCCCAGTTGTCGGGAATTTTGAAACGATCGTTTCTGCGAAGTTGATTGTAAGAATTTTTACCAAACTCGTTTTGAGGGGTTGAAAGTCGTCTATTTATCGAAATTGAAGAGCTTTTTGTGTTCACGATGAATAGCAAAGTTATGGTTATGAACTGTAATAATAGGCTGAGTTTAAACATATTCATTTTTTTCGGTTTAAAATAAGATTGTTTTCGAAGTGGGAATTTGAACAAAAAGTTAAAACTGCAAATATTTGTTGAAACTCTTGATTCTATCTTTTTCGCAAATATAGTTTTAATTCACAAATGAAAAGTATTCTCTTCTGTACAATTAATAGACAAAAGTTGACTCTTATTTTTAAGGGTCGTTTTTCACTGGAGATTTAGGTATCCCCAATTAAAAGTTTAATTCTCATATAATACTCCCTAATCAAGTTGGGGAAGGGAGCCAATTAAATGGGTATTATTGGATACACTTCCCGTATAAAAGGATTATCAGATTGCGAAATGTTAATCAGTGCAAAAATAACAAATGTCACGTAAAATGAGAAATACTAAGCAATCAAATTCGGATTTTGAATTCCGAGTTTCAGATTTAATACTTTTTTGATATTATAATCAGAAATACTGCCAGGCCCATCGATGAATCCAAGTTTTGATTTGCACTTTAAAATTAGTTATGAAGATATGAACTTGAAATAAAGGAAGTTTATGCTATAATGATGTTGAAGTAATACTTTGAATTAATCAAAAGGAAAGGAAGGACGCTGATATCGAATTGCAGTACACAGGTTAAAAATCTTAATTTTTGTGAAGGGTCGTTAAAGAAATTTTGTTTTCATATATTTATGAACTCGCATATTTCTTTCAGTTGAACATCTGCGAAGCATTAAATAGACTTTTATTCAGAATTGTTCTGATTTGCGCGGACGGGAAATTTAAAAATCCTTTTGAATTGTTTTTTCTTTGTCCATCAGCTAAGCTAACATTTATTGTAAAAGCTATTGTATTTTTCTTCTGGGAACAAATTGTTTTCATACTGAGCCTGTCTTAAATTCTTAAAATTTTGAAGAAAAAAAATCCGGTAGAATAATTCTCTTTTTTTTTGCAAAGCTTAAGCAACAGCGTTAAGTATGCACTAATATTAAGTCTTTGTTTTGACAAAAACAAGTTTTTAATCCTTGTTTTGTTGTTTTCAAAGGCTCGGCGAGGGGGATTTAAATATAAATATCAAATTCGATTTGTGTACATTAAGAAAACCAAAGTAAATATTTTTATTAAGACCTCTCTCAACATCATATAGAAGCTCAGAGTACGGATGTTAGTTTATTATGCAAGTCTGTTTGTCTCATCGATGTATCGTTTACATAGATTTCATTCAATATTTATTGTTCTATTTTCTAAAAAAACTCTCCGATTTTGAACAGACAGACATCTTCTTCAAATATGAATATTTGAAAGAATAATTAAAGAATAGAGTTGAAGAGATTATTACTATTCCGCCTGCTGAAATGCTTCAAACACCGCAAATAATATAGTTTTCTATCGAGTTGATCGAAATATAGCTATCAGTATGTTATGTGCCCAAAACTAAAGGTCATTTTGACAATTTAAGACACCGAACGATTGAATCTGATCTAGTAGTTAATTTTTTTGGAAGTACACTCTGGCTGATTTGAATTATCCGGAAAAAATAAATAAAATCAGAAACTTCAAACGTGTTCTCTCGAATTTAGACAAGAATTTATCTTCAAAAATTTCAGCAGAACTATTATGGTGGAATTTGTGTTGCAAAATCTGGACTCAAGGCTTCACTTTAAAAATATGGACCATTTTTGCTCGATTTGTTTTATTAAAAGTTTAGTCAAAACTGCAGGGTCAATTTTGATTAAGTAGTTACATCAAAATGAGCGTCTTATTCCACCCGAAAAAGGGGTCCGAATTTTCATAATTTTTATACAAAAAGGACGATTTTACTTAAAAATACCGATCTGTTTCGACTGCTAAATAGTAAAATGTACGTTTAAGCAAATTTTCAGACACGTAACCGTTCTTTGAATTTGTTGGGTTGGTTAAAAAGCTGATTTTGATATCATTTATTCAAAAATGAACCCGGCAATTTGGAATTTTTTAAAATCATTTCAACATCTAACATCACGATTGAAAAAAAGTGAAGGTAATCAATTTTATTCGAAAAAATTTTATGGATTTGTTCAGAAAAAACTGCTGCTGATGACTCAAAGAGCAGTCGTCATCGGACAAGTACAAACTGTTTCGTGTGTAAAAGCAATTTTCAATTTTGTTCCGACCGTACTTCTGTTGAGGTAGGAAGCAAAAGAGCAATGGCACAGGATCTGTTGTTTTTCCAGGCGATTTCGGTTACTTCAAAGAAAACTAGTAGATTGTCAAGTGTCCTATCATTTTGAAACCCTTTTGACCGTAATACGGATTCTAAAAGGAAATAATTCCGGAAATTTTCTCAGTGTCGAGAAAAACTGGTCTCCAAATTTAATATTACTTCAATTTTTAAGCTGTTTTAGTTTTTTTTACCACTGATTCGTAATTGATAATACTCTTTCTGCGAAAACTGTATTTTTTTCCATAAAAATCAATGGAACAAAAATTTTGTAATAGTTTTTTTTCGAAAGTTTTAAAATTTTTACAATGTTTTAGGTATTTGTTTGTGGAATCCAAAACAGCAGAAAAGATCAAAGAAAAGTAACAATCTTGCGGATTCTGCGACAAATTTGATTTTGGCCTGTTGCGGATTCTGCTTACAATGCACAGAATGCACAAGTTGGCTTCTTAATGACTAACTTTTTTATTTAAAATATCTCATATATATATGGCGGCATGGCATAAAATCCTTTCGAATGCTTGTCAAGTGAAGTTCAAGGGAACAAGGGATGAATTGGCCGGTCGCCCAATAAAAAACGAATGGAAAAAATTGAAAGCTAAGTAAACGTTAAATAAAGGGTCGTTTTGTTACAGTTGAATTTTAAGATTATTTATACTATTACTACTGTTAACTCTCAGCTAGTCTTTAACAAGTTATATTGTTTTCTGAATCAAAGAATGTTTTTTTTAATCATTTCAAAGTAGAAATTAGTGTTTTTCTTTTTTTCTAATTTCATTTTATTCTAAAGTTTTGCTTTTTGTAGCGCTGCTTGGAAAATTTTCCAATATGTTAATTTCAATTCAAGCCATCGAAAAAATCTTCAATTTACAGAAATAACAAAAGCAAAATTGCTCTTGTCTTTCCGCTGACAATCATGATTAGGTTAGATTTCGCGAACAGAACTCGAATATTTTACGCCAGCGTAGGATTTTTATTGCGCAAAAGCAATTGAGAAAACGAACTGTTTTTTTTTCACTGTTCGGTGAAATATTGTACGTCAGACTCTTCGGTTTTTATAAGCATAGCAATAAATGTTTTCACAAATTGTTAGTTGTGGAGCAAGAACGGTTTGAAGTTTGTTTGTTTCTAGGCTACTTGACTTATATCGCCTATCAAATTTCATTGTTCCTTTTTTAGTTTTGACAAACTATCGTTGTGTCATATTATCAACCCCTTTTAAAAGCTAGCAGCTTTTTTTTGTATTGAAATTTTGCGTACAATTTTTTTTGCGTTCATTATTGGCTATCTTAATTAGCATGAGTTGTTTCCGCGTTGATTACGTGCTGTTTAAAACTTGTTGAAAACATTGTTTTTTACCCTTGAGATTTAAGAACTGGACTTTGTTCCAGTGAACAACTTTGTCCACCTGTGGACAACTTCTAGATGATCTTCACTCCTTGAGATTCTTGAAAGTTTAAATAAAAGTACTATCAGTTATCTAGTGATTAGTTCAGGCACGTTTCAGGTTGTAATTATCTTTTTCTAAAAAAAAACAATTTCACGTTTTTTATCTTGTAAGGTTTCTATTGGCTTACTTTTTGAAGCATGGGTTTTGCTACATTTAAACAGTTTTTACTATAATTGAAACTTCACAAATTTTCAAGTTTACCATGTCTGGTTTTGAGTTTTTTTGTTTCGTTTTTTGTTCATTTTTTTTTTTCATTTTTCGGCTTAATAGGTTTCGGCCTATATTATATCGGCTTATTGGCCTCATTATGTTTCATATGACGAGCAAATACAGTATAATGTGTGTGTGTTTTGAGGGCGAGGGGGACTTCTTAACTTTTTATAAGTCTTAAGTCTTGTTGCTTTTTTTTCGGCTGAAAGGGTTTCTGCTAAGGTCTTTTTGGCTTCGTTACCGCTTGGTTATTTTTTTTCCGATGCAAATTTCACATCCTATTTTCTTGGTGCGAGTGTTTTTTTCAAAATTAATTTTTCAATTGTGTTTCAGTTTGATTGGGTCGTAAAAACTTTCAAGTTGAATGAAATTTTTTATGACAACAGTTTTGTTTTCGGCTCAACAGGTGTCGACCCAAAATTTGTCGCCTTTGTTGCCGCTCGGTAAATGATTTGTTTTTAAGGACTATTTGTGAACTTCATCTGATACAAATATGAAGTTTTCGTAGCTGTAACTTTTCAACTTTTATCTTTAACTCCAGTTATTTTTACAAGTAATATTTTTCCAACATAAATTATTTTACTTGTTTTTTTTCCATTCACTTTATTGTAGCGCAATGTATTTTTTCTGCATCGCAAGTGTTGCGAAGCTCCGCTTCGACTCTGTAAAAACTTGTAAAGACTCTGTAAAAACTCTGTAAAACAGCTGCTTTTGCGGAACACTAGAATAATTTCAGGCATGTGATGCTCCTATATATTGAGCCGATGATGCGTCATATATTATTGGTACATCAAATCAGACTTGAGAAATAAGCTGGGAGCTGAAAAAGTTGGGAATCTTGATGCTTTAAACGTTTTTTGTCTTAAGCGTTTTGAAAGTTTTTTTTAAAAGACAATTGTTTGCCAACCCTGCTTTAAACTGCCCAAAACTCACTGATTCTATTTGTCATTTCTTTCGAACATTTGAATTCTGCATTCTGATTGGCTGTCAAAAATTTTAGGCATCGGGTTCTTTTGGCACTGATAAGTTTCTGTGTAGCTTCTGTAAGTGTAATATATTTACCCATATCCGCTGCTGTCCGGTTTGTGTTCCAGGGCATATATGCTTTCAAAATTTTGGTTGGGCTTTTGATATGTTGGATTTTTTTTTGAATTTTAGTGCTCCGTTCTTGTTTCTGGTTACAAAGTACAGCTTTACCCATCTGCATGAAAATTGATGCATTCCCAGCAAACATCTACACTTTGGTTTGGGGATTTACTTATATAATTTTCTTATAACTCAAGAGTTACTTTTGATTCACTTATAATTCGGATTTACTATTCTTGCTTACGGTCCTTGGATATCACAATTATAAAACTAAGTGCCAATTGAATGGCTCCAAGGTGAAAACTTTGTTAATTCTAGAATAAAACAATTCAATTTAGACCATATCTATTAAATTCTTCGAAGCTGTCTGAAAGTTTTTGGCTCCCTCGGTTATTGTGAGCTGCGTAACTGCTTGTTTTATCACGTGTACCCCAAACGGTACGGGTCATTGTCCTCTATTAGTTTATCCACGAGCTGAAATAAAAATTGTTTCAGTTTTTTTGACGAAATCCTTAAAAAATTGAAATTTTTGATTAAGTGTATTTGTTTTTAATGATTAAAACTTGAGTCTTTTGCTTACCTCTACGAATCGAGTTGCCAGACTTCTCTGGAATGCGTCGGGGTTTTTGCCCTGGGGTATCAGGGTTCTGAGGGGCTGCGACGGGAGCTTCTTCATGTAAAATGAGGCCTTGTCCGGGGGAAGGTATTCGGTGTTTGTGAATTCCTGCAATCAAGTTTGTCATTCAGATTTTTTTTGCGATGGAGTTTGACGTAATTGTGGAAAATTTTAAGTTGACGTAATAAATTAGCTGTTTAAAACTTGGTTTATTTTTTTCTTAAATCTTATAATAAATGCTGACCTGAATACCATGACGTTTAGCTGTCTAAAATCAGGATAATCTTTCCTATTCTCGAAATAATTATATTGTTTTTCGCGCATTTTTGTTGAATCAGAGTCTCTATTTTTCTGCCCTCTATTTTAAAAAATTAGGTTGTTTTGAAGGTGGAAAATTTCTTGAATCATTTCATTTTTTCCGTTTATTTTTTGTGCTTTCTACGGATGCTAGTTTACCATGGGTTCGAGTTCTTCATCTCTGCGAGCGTCGGCTATGCGGATGAAGACACTGGCCCCGTCTATGAACTTGACCTTCTTCTGGAATGCCATGTCCCGCAACACATCCTTTGCTGGGTACTGTCTCAACTTCTGCAACACTTCGAGACTGGAAAAAAAGCAAAAAATTCAGAAGAAGTTTGCCCAAAAAACAACTAGAAACCGACTGGAAGTTCGTCTAGATTCGGTTAAAAAGAAAAGTGCTTAAATCTTAATCTCCCACTGGATTCTGGAAAGAAAGGGAAACAATAGCATTTACTCGCTTGCATCATTTCAAACAAAAGCTAGGAGATTATCAATGGGAGAATTGTTTTGCTTCACAAGTTGCTCAAAATCTTCCGACTGCCGTTTTTGCTGCAAGAGATTAACAAAAAAACTATTTCTCAATTTTCAAAATTTTTGAAATTTTTTGGATGTGGCGTGATATTAAGCTGTTTGAAATTAACCCGTGTTAAAAAGATATATTTTCTTAACGGGAATTCAAACATTTTTCACGACAAGCACATCAAACTTTTTCTAAGACTTTTTATCCTTGCGATAAGTAATGGTATTGCAATCGGTTACTAGACTTTTTATCCTGTAAATGATCACAGAGTGGTCAAATGGTAATCAGCATATTTTATACCCATAGGTTAATACGCATGGTTAATAATTAGTGTGGTTACTGTATTGGCCTTGTGTTTCAAGTAACAGTTGCCCATTAAAGTTTTATCAGATTCGAAAGTTTTTGGTAGGTTTTCGGCACTGAGGTCCTTAGGCTTTAATTCTGTCGGCTTAGTTTCCTGATGTTTTTAAAAATTAAGTTATGTTGATTTTATAACGATTGAGATAAATCACTCTCTTAAGCCCTCCGTTGTACAATTAGGAAATTTTAACATGAAATATTTTTCAAATAAAAAAAAACATTGAAAATTTTTTAAAAAAATCAATTTTCGGCATTTAGTTTGTTTATTATAATTAATTCGAATTCAACTCATTATCCAGTGCATCTGGCGTAGAGGTAGTACATGTGATTGAGACGACAAAAGCTTGTGGTTCGAATCTAGTCGGAACCTGTTTTTTTTTTAAACTAGAATTTTTCTGCTTTATTCGGGCAATTAAAATTTATACAAACCAAATTTTTTTCAAAATCATTTCAAAATTTTTTTGCTTTTTATTAGAATGTTGGTAGTATACGCTTTTCTCGTTACTATCACGTTTTTTCAACTTGGTACAAACTTTTTTTAACTCAGCGTCTTTCCTCTCAATTTCTGTCTGCTAGTTTGTTGCGCTATGTTTGTGTTGTATTCCAATTATGCTCGCTCAATCTCCGTAAGTTGGTAAGAAACTATGAAGTCGAATGCTTTGAATTATAAAGAGTATTTATCGGCAAAAACTCTCGGAAACTCAATAATTTATCATATTTTTGGTCAAGCATAACATCATATAACTTCAATTCTCCACTTGTTTCGGTACAAATCGGCGCAAGCTAGCCACAAGAACCGGTCGGTAATGTCCTTGAGACAAATTGATCTTTTTGGCGGTCAGCCTTAATCAAGGCTGAACCGAATTAGAACCAAAAAAACAGTAAAAAACGGTCAAATGGGGCTATAGCCCCTCGGGTCTACATGTTTTAAGGTCTGCATATGGGGGGACTCAAACCCGGTTGACCGGCGTGAGGGACTTGTCTCTAGGCCGCTCGGCCAACTGTGCTTGTTTTATATGCATTTATACTCTTGTTTTATATGCATCTATACTCTACATTTGCGTTGCAACATCCTCCCCCCTCCCCTGAAGAAGGAAGAACCGGAGCGAGCTTAACGGTCGGCCGAGTGACTTCACGGGTTGCGTTCTTGACAAGGGCGGATCGAGCGCAACCGTCCTGCCCGTAGTTTAGCTTGATGATTCGGGCGAGAGGTTAGTACCCACGCGAACTGTCTGGCTCAATCACCCACACGAGGTCGCCTGTTTTAAGAGTGAAGTCAGAATGAGTGTGCCACTTGACGCGTTTATTCAGCAAGGGAACATATTCTCGAAGACAACGAGACCAAATCGCGTTAGCATATGACTGCGCTCGCACGTACCTTTTCTTTTGATCGAAGTGCTCCCCGGGTAAAAGCGAAGGAAAGCTTGTGGCATGTTGTCCAAGCAAAAAAATGGTTTGGGGTTAACGCTTCTAACTCACGTGAATCAGTACTAACGGGAGTGATTGGCCTCGAATTCAAAGCCTGCTCAACTAAGCAGAGTTTTGTTCCTAACACCTCTTCAGTGACTCGCCTACTGCCTAGGATATCGTACAGCACGCGCTTCACGCTTCGGACGAGGCGTTCCCAGCAGCCGCCTTAATAGGGTGCGCCTGGCGGGTTAAATTTCCAAGTAACACCTTTGTGTGCAAAATGGTCGGAGCCATGCCATTCCAGCTCTTGATGCAGGCAAGTAATTCCTTTTCTGCACCAACGAAGTTCGTGCCGTTATCCGACCAGATTGTGCTTGGCGTACCACGACGAGCAATGAACCGTTCAATGCCCATGACACAAGAACTGATGTCCAGAGATGGTACAATCTCAAGGTGTACAGCCCTGGTGGTGAGGCAAGTAAAAAGAAATCCCCATCTTTTTTCAGTGCTTCTGCGAACTGGAACGTAGAGCGGTCCAAAGTAATCCACACCCGTATGATTGAAAGGTGTTTGCTTGTATCCGAGACGTTCGACAGGTAAATCGGACATAATTGGCTGGATGGTGCTTGCTTTGCGTTTACGGCATGTTACACATTGATTTTCGATAGACCGAAGTAGTCGACGCAACCCAAGTATTGCATAATTCATATTTAAAACGGAGCGCATGTAATCTAATCCTTGATGAAAATGCTTATGGTGGAGGCTGCGGGCCAACAAACGAACCAGGATATGTCGGGCGTCGAGTAAGATTGTATGTTTAGTATCAAAGTCGGTATTCACTGAGCGCACAATCCGTCCAGTGGAACGAATGATACCAGCGAGACCGATAAATGGCGAGTTTGTGGCAATTTTACTACTATTCTTAATAGGTTTGCCAGCGGTGAGTGTTTTCAACTCAACGGGGAAGGATTCCATCTGAGCAAGATGAATCAGTTTGTTTTCTGCAATATTAAGTTCAGTGGGGTCGGTGATTCGTAAGTCCTTACCACGAAAATGCTTATGTGAAGGCAGCATCCTCAACATAAAAGCGACTACTCGTTTATATCTCGTAAAGCAACTGAACCTTTCCCAATTGAACCCGTGTTCGGGATGTTTGATGGATGTGACATCGGTGAGGAAGGAAGATGATGTCTCCAAGCAATTATCAACATCAAAAGAAGGACCCTGTAGACGAATTTTATTGATTACACGTTCGTCGGGTATAAAGGGCCAATCAGTAGTCCTGAGAATGCTCGGACCAATAATCCAGCTGGATTATCGCCGCTCAGAACATGGTGCCACTCATCAATAGGGGTCGATTCAAGGATTTCGCCGACACGATTAGCGACAAATACAGGTAATTTTTCAGTGGAGTTTAGCCACTGCAAAACTGTTGTACTATCTGTCCACATGTAGACATGATTAATAGAGACGGTAAGGGCGGTCAGTATATCATTTTTTAGTCGTGTGGCGAGCAGAGCAGCTTGAAGCTCTAGCCTAGCTTTGGTATAGATGGCGCTTTCATGGGCGCAACGCGAGCTTTACCAAAGATGATATTTGAGTTTTGTGCGAGCTCGAAAGTCGCGCACGCAAAAGTCCAACCGCACAGAAAACGTCCTGCGAGCTATCACCGAACATGTGGAGCTCAATTTGATCATCAGGCTCTTTGAAGTAACAACGGGGAATAGTCAATTGCCCTAAGAGAGGGAGACCGGAGTGCCACTCGAGAAACTTATCTCTTATGTCTTCTGGCAATTCGTCGTCCCAATTTTGACCACTGATTTTTCAAATACCTTTAAGTAAAAGACGGGCCCTAATTGTGTATGGAGCTACTAACCCAACAGGGTCAAACACAGAAGAGACGGAACTCAGGACGGTTCGTTGAGTTATTGCTTAATCGAGAGGATGATCCACGCCTCTGCTAACAACTAATGTGTCCTTCACATGGTCCCACTTGAGACCTAAGACGTGTGATGATTGTTCGGCACCGTTACATATTTCCCTGATGGGTGAAGACGAGGTTTCGGATTCCTCGGGGTTCATTGCTGAAGTGATTTCATCAGCATTACTGACAAATTTAGTCAAATTAAATCCTCCCATTTTTAGTAAGGAAACCAAATCGCGACTAATTTTAATTGCATGGGTAACGTTCTCGAATGAATCCAAGTAATCGTCCATGTAAAATTTTTCATTTACGACTGAGGCGGCCTCAAAGTATGTGGACATATTATCAGTTGCTGTTTTTCGCAACGCGAAATTGGCGCACGTAGGCGAATCCCGTGCGCCGAATATATGGCGAGTGTACTGATGAACTACCACATCGGAAGTGGTATCCTCCCGCCACAAAAACGGAGCGAAATTTGATCGCGGGCAAGGACTCCTACCTGGTGGAACATACCCTCTATATCCGCGGAGACGGAGTACTTGTGTTGACGGAATCGCAAAAGTACAAAAATTAAATTTTGTAGTAGGTCCGGACCTACCAATAAGGACTTATTTAAGGATGTGCCGTGAAACTTAGAAGCCCCATTAAGGACTTGGCGCACCTTACCCGGCTTATTCGGATTTACGACGGGATGGTGCGGAAGATACCACTCGCGATCAGAACGCTTACGTGGATCATGCGGTTCGACGGTAACGACATAGCCTTTCCTAATGTCCTCTCTAATTGTTTCTGCGTATCTTTCGCGCAGCTCAGGGTCTTTACTTAACCTTCTCTCCAATGTTTTAAATTGGGCGAGTGACGAGTAATAGTTGTTTGGTAGACTGACATTACTATCAATCCAAAGCATAGGCACAATGTATCTTTCGCCTTTTGAACGGTTTCAGAATTTAGGATGCATAAAGCATGTTTATCCGCGGCGGAACGGGCATCGACTTGTTTGAAAGCACCATACGATTCCAACTCGTACCAGGATTTTATCTGGTCGGTCAGAGAAGAATCTGCCACAACACACTTGAAACACGAAGAAGTA